TAAAGACATGTACACAGTATCCCTACCACACACCCAAAAAATATATAATTCAAATATACTATTCAAAATAAAGTTATAGTGTCCCAAAGCATCAACCAATCAAATTGTTTATCTCTGCTTACCCTAAGCGGAACGGACAGACAAACAGACAGACGGACGAACCCATTTTAATAGTTCCCTGCTTTCTTCGAAAGGCGGGGGACAATAAGCATGAACATTTACTCAATTCGATGATCAACCAATCAAATTGTTTATCTCTGCTTACCATAAGCGGAACGGACAGACAGACAAACAGACAGACGGACGAACCCATTTTAATAGTTCCCTGCTTTCTTCGAAAGGCGGGGGACAATCAAAGTAGGAGAGTTATTGTTTTCCAAAGTCTCGACCAATCAAATTGCGTATCGCTCTGCTTACCCTGAGCAGAAAATGCTCATTATCAAACTTAGTCAAGGTATTACTGTAATGAAACTATACACCAAGTTTCATCAATCTCACTTAATTAGAACTAAAGTTATCGTGTCCCAAAGCATCAACCAATCAAATTGCTTATCTCTGCTTACCCTAAGCGGAAAATGCTCATCTTCGAACTCCATCAAGGCATTGACCTAATCAACACATACACCAAGTTTGAACATTCTAGCTCAATTAGGAAGAGAGTTATCGTGCCCCAAAGTATCAACCAATCAAATTGCTTATCTCTGCTTACCCTAAGCGGAAAATGCTCATCTTCGAACTCCATCAAGGCATTGACCTAATAAACACATACACCAAGTTTGAACATTCTAGCTCAATTAAAAGTTATCGTGTCCCAAAGCATCAACCAATCAAATTGCTTATCTCTGCTTACCCTAAGCGGAAAATGCTCATCTTCGAACTCCATCAAGGCATTGACCTAATCAACACATACACCAAGTTTGAACATTCTAGCCCAATTAGGAAGAGAGTTATCGTGTCCCAAAGCATCAACCAATCAAATTGCTTATCTCTGCTTACCCTAAGCGGAAAATGCTCATCTTCGAACTCCATCAAGGCATTGACCTAATAAACACATACACCAAGTTTGAACATTCTAGCTCAATTAGGAAGAGAGTTATTGTGTCCCAAAAAGTGTGACGGACAGACAGACGGACAGACGGACGGACGGACGGACGGACAGACAGACGGACGAACCCATTTTAATAGTCCCCTGCTTTCTTCGAAAGGCGGGGGACAAAAATCTTAGTGGTCGCGATAGATATAAATTAACTCCTCACTATTCTAAGCCGATGCGTATCATTGAAATTCAAGGATGTGTTATTACTCTGTCTGATGGGAAACGATGGCATTCAGATGACATTGTGAAGTATGCTACGAAGGTGAAAATCAAAGTGATGATATGTTTGGTTTTGAACAATCTAATCCTTATTTATTGTTTAATCATAATGCTAATAATTGTGCCAATCGTGATGCCGTGTTAATGCGAAATAACAATGATCAAGTTCCAAGATATCCAATACGAGTTCGCGCAAGACCAAGATATTTACAAGACTATTCGATGTGATAATTCTTTGTTCTGATAAACATTTTGATAGATAATTTTATAATAACTGATATATTGTTTATTTCAATATTAAGCTATATTTCTATTAATGATATTATTGTATGACCAGATAGACATTTATGCTGTTTAGTTCTTTAATTTAAAAAGAGGGGAATATGTGATGTCTGTGCATTCATGTAAATAGAGATAAGTAAAATAGAAGATGTCCATCCAGAATTATATCATGATTATTATATGATGAAGTAATTATGACCTATGTGTCATTCCATAATAGTACATTCCAGAAGGATGACTCATACTATACGTCACCCGCTCATGTGTAGTGCGGAGGAAGATGTTCGCCATGCTGATTTCTTGAAGTATACCATTTCGATGTTGTTTAGATGTAAATCATTCTTGACTAATAAATGTTTGTCTACAACGAACATAATAATAATTGTTATCCGATTTTTAAAAAAAACGTTTGAATATATCACCTTTACACACTAAAGATGAGTTCGAATTTCTTAAAAATCGGACCAAAACTGACAGACAAAATGGCCGCCCCACGTACTCTAGAGATCACAATTTTCTTCTGATTTTGATGAAACTTGAAATGTAAGTTTACAACCCAAAGATCTCGGTTCCTTTCGATATTCGCGCATATCGGACTGTAAATTCCTGAATTATGGCCAGTGATTTTACGAAAAATCGTGGTTTTAGCTTGTGGACTCTATAGAGGTCATAATATACTATTCAAAAAAAGTAGGGGATATTTGATTTTTAAGTGTTATTAAAGTCACCTAATGAAACTGACGAAGAAACAAATGACAAAATGAAATGAAGTTCACATTCATCGATTTATTCCAAATGATCGTTAGACTAAGTAAGGCACAGACTGACCATTATAAGGGTAAAATGATACCCGGGGTCAAACAGCAAAGTTACCACAGCATCACAACAAGTCAGTAACGGGTAAATCCTCCTCTGTTTGCCAAACAAGCATTGATCCGACGTGGCATACTCCTAATGAGACGTCTAAGGTCATTTTGGTCCAGATTGTCCCATTCCTGTTGCAACGCAGCAGCAAGTTCTTGGACATTGGCAGGACGTTGTTGACGTTGACGTAACCTCTGTCCAAGCATGTCCCAGACATGCTCGATGGGGGAGAGGTCGGGACTCAGTGCTGGCCAAGGTAATGTGGTGATGTTCTGTTGTTGGAGGTAACCTGTAACGATCCTGGCCCTGTGACATCTTGCGTTGTCATCCTGGAAGATGAAACGGCGGCCATGACGTCGTGCGAACGGCACAACATGGACTGCCAAGATGTTGTCCCGGTAGTACTGGCCTGTAACACGCCCTGCAACAACATGTAAAGCCGTTCTTCCAGCAACAGTGATGCCTCCCCACACCATAACAGAACCACCCCCAAATCGATCATGTCTGATGACGTTAACGTCTTGGAAGCGCTCGTTTCGACGACGCCACACCCTCCTACGTCTGTCCAAAAAATCAACAGTGAACCTTGACTCATCTGAAAACATCACATTGCTCCAGCGTCGATTATCCCAGTGTTGACGATCCCTACACCAACGACGTCTTGCCTGAATGTGATGATCTCTCAAACAAGGGATCACGCGAGGACGTCGGGCGCGAAGGTGACCCCTATGCAGTCGATTCCGAATCGTCTGGCCACTCACTCTCACACCAGTGTCTGTTTGAAGACGAGCGCTGGTCTGATTTGCTGTGATGACACGATTTCTCAAGGCCAAGGTACGGATAAATCGATCCTGGGCTTCAGTTGTCGCCCTTGGTCGACCTGAGCGTGGTCTGTCCTGTACAGATTGTGTATCACGGTATCTGGACCATAGCCTGCTTATGACAGACTGAGAAACATTCATCGTCCGCGCCACAACCGCCTGTGTTGTGCCGATCTGTAGCATGCCAAGGGCACGTAACCTTTCATTTTGGGTAAGCCGACGCATATCAAAATTTGTTTTCTGGTCACTAAAACAATTAAACTGATGTTTCCACCCTGGAATTCAATGCCACAATGACTGTAACATTCAAAGTCAGAGTCGTGCAAATCTTGGGTTGGACCCCCATGATGATCCCAAGCATCACCTGCATTCCATGCGGTAGCTATTGGTGCGTTTGGGCGTCACATGTAACTGGAAATGTTTCTTCTGTTAGGTTCTATAGTGACTTTTTTCCTAGTCATTTGCATATTTTAGTATTATGCCCCCAAAATCAAATATCCCCTACTTTTTTTGAATAGTATATTTATCCGATTTAAAAACCCGTTTGAATATATCACCGTTACACCCTAAGGGTGGTTGAGTTCAAATTACGTAAAAATCGGACCAAAACTGACAGACAAAATGGCGGCCCTCGTACACAATTAGTGTAAACATCTGGTATATCAAAGTTGTGGACCCTCTAGAGGTGACAATTTTGTTCTGATTTTGATGAAATTTGAAATGCATGTTTATAACCCAAAGATCTTGGTTCCTTTCGATATTCGCGCGTATCGGATCATAACTTCCTGAATTATGGCCCCTGATTGTATGAAAAATCGCGGTTTTTTTTATACGCCCACATTTTCATGTGGACGTATATTGTCGTTGCCCCTGTCCGGACGGACGTCCGTCCACAATTGTTTGTGAACAATCTAAAGGCCACAATTTTTATCCGATTTCAATGAAACTTGAAATATAGGTTTATCACTATAAGATCTCGGTTCCTTTCGATATTAACATGTATCGGACTATAACTTCATGGATTATGCTTCCTGATTGTACATAAAATCGTGTTTTTAGCTTGTGGACCCTCTGGAGGTCACAATATTTATCTGATTTGGTTCAAACTTGAAATGTATGTTTATAACCCACAGAGCTCGGTTCCTTTCGATATTCGTGCTTTTGATATTCGTGCATATCGGACCATAACTTCCTGAATTCTGGCCCTTAAGGATGGTTGAGTTCGAATTTCGTAAAAATCGGACCGAAACTGACGGACAAAATGACCGCCCCTCGTTCGCAAATAGTGTCAAAACATTGTGTATCTTGAAACTTGAAATGCATGTCTATAATCCAAATATCTTGGTTCCTGTCGTACGTACATATCGAATCGTAACTTCCTGAATTATGACCCCTGATTGTACGAAAACTTGCTTTTTTTAGCTTGTGGGTCCCTCTAAGTCACAATTATTATCCGATTTAAAAAAGAAGTTTGATATATTACCGTTACACCCTAAGGATTGTTGAGTTCCAATTTCGTAAAAATCGGACCGAAATTGGCGGACAAAATGGCCACTCCTCGTTCGCAAATAGTGTCAAAATATTGTGTATCAGGGTTGTGAACCCTCTGGAGGTCACAATTTCCATTTGATTTTGATGGAACTTGAAATGCATGTTTATAACCCAAATATATGACCACATTTCCGTTTTGGCATATAAAATTAATATTAATTTTGACAGAAATTATGAATTTTTTATGTACCAGTAATTGTCATCACACACACAAAAACACATACATTGTATAACAACCAGAAGAGCTGTTAGCCTAATAATGATAAATGAAGGCACGATTTAATAAATGGTCTCGAAATAAGAACGATCTTTAGCCCACAATGAGTATAAGCAATCATCAATATCATTAGAAGGAAATCTATCAATAAACGACTCTATTAAACCAGTGGGTGTTGGCTCATACGACTTCATTTCAACACTATTACCTACAACAGAAAAGTACACAATATTATTAGTATTAATATATTGGCATATTGCCCCCCAAAATACAAAAATTTTGTGGGGGGAATGTGGTGTGTGTAACACAAACATGGTATACTACTGTGTCAAATCGTCATTACTCAACAACACATGAACATTAAATAACAATGAAGAAATTATATATTTTCTTGGTAAGAGTGATATCTACGTTACAATAATTGCAACCAGCTGCTGCCCGGCAGGATACGCCCACATTTTCGAGAGATGGATAGAGAACAAGCTAACAAGAAAGTGATTTTTCCTACAATCAAGGGCCATAATTCAGGAAATTACAATTCGATATGTGTTATAAACTTATATTTCAAGTTTCAACAAAATCGGATAAAAATTGTGACCTCTATAGGGTCCACAACCTTGATATACCATATTTTTACGCTATTTGAGAACGAACGGCAGCCATTTTGTCTGTCAATTTTGGGCCGATATTCACGAAATTCGATCTCAGTCGTCCTTAGGGTGTAACGGTGATATAATAATAAGTTTTTTTTAAATCGGATAAAAATTATGACATCTATAGGGTCCACAAACTAAAAGCTCGATTTTTCATACAATCAGGGGCCATAATTCAGGAAGTTACGGTCCGATATGCGTGAATATCGAAAGGATCCGAGATCTTTGGGTTATAAACTTACATTTCAGGTTTCACCAAAATCGGATAAAAATTGTGACCTCTATAGGGTCCACAACCTTGATATACCATATTCTTACGCTATTTGAGAACGAACGGCGGCCATTTTGTCTGCCAATTTTGGGCCGATTTTCACGAAATTCGAACTCAGTCATCCTTAGGGTGTAACGGTGATATAATAATACAGTTTTCTTAAATCGGATAAAAATTATGACCTCTTTAGGGTCCACAAGCTAAAAACGCGATTTTTCGTACAATCAGGGGCCATAATTCAGAAAGTTACGGTCCGATATGCGCAAATATCGAAAGGAACCGAGATCTTTAGGTTATAAACTTACATTTCAAGTTTCAACAAAATCGGATAAAAATTGTGACCTCTATTGGGTCCACAACCTTGATATACCATATTTTTTACGCTATTTGAGAACGAAGGGCGGCCATTTTGTCTGTCAGTTTTGGGCCGATTTTCACGAAATTCGAACTCAACCTTCCTTAGAGTGTAATGGTGATATAATAATACGGTTTTTTAAATCGGATAAAAATTATGACCTCTATAGGGTCCACAAGCTAAAAACGCGATTTTTCGTATAATCAGGGGCCATAATTCAGGAAGTTACGGTCCGATATGCGCGAATATCGAAAGGAACTGAGATTTTTGGGTTATAAACTTACATTTCAAGTTTCAAAAAAATCGGATAAAAATTGTGACCTCTAAAGGGTCCACAAGCTAAAAACGTGATTTTTCGTACAATCAGGGGCCATAATCCATGAAGTTTCGATCCGATACATGCCAATATCTTTTGGGGATAAACCTATATTTCAAGTTTCGTCAAAATCGGATAAGAATTGTGACCTGTAGAGAGTCCACAAACAATTGTGTCCGGACGGACAGGGTCGACGGCATAATACGTCCACATGAAAATGTGGGCGTATAACAAAAATTCTTTGTAAAACCACTGTGTTATTTATCTTTAAGTGGTATAAAATGGGCAGAAAATTCGAAAAATAAAGGGCGATAACTCTGAATGAAACTTATAATGCTGGAATCGGATAGACTTCATGTATCCAAAAATGTAGGTCAAATTTGAAAATGTTGCAGAATAACAAAATTGTCCCGTAAACAACGCATTTTCAAATTTCGAACGACAAAAGCCATAGATGAATGTTCGAAATTTAAAAATGTGAGATAGCCATTGTCTCCGAAAAGGTTCAGGGTTTCCAAAACTGTCATTTATTTGAAAATAGGTAAAGAACTGATGAAACTACAGCCGTTTTTTAATTTCCGGCCACAGTTCAAAATTCGGCCACTTACGGTCTGCGCAGAAGTTTCAGATACGGTTTTTCAAGTAAACACCACATGGTTTCCCATGTAATTGTTTATCCATATTATTACTTCTCTCATCTTGTTTATTCTTAATTAATGATTAATCTGTAACATGGTTTCAAATTGTTAACTATATATTGCACCACATTTTGTTATACATCATTATTTGCTTGATAACGATATCTGTATGTGTATCGAAACGTAGCATGTTAATAAATTCAGAAGTAGTATATCCATATAAGTGTTTTTAATTTCGGGATAGTTTAAAAACGTGGCGTTGGCATTTATTAAGAAGGATCAATAGGTATACATAAACAATTTTGCGTTTAAAAAATCGACTAAGGAAGACCTCAAAAGAATTGATTCGCGCGAAGGCTAATAATAATAAAGTTTTGACAAATAAAAAAAATGGTCCCAACCTCGTGGGGAAGAAGTAATTTTGTATGATGTCGAAAATCAAAGATACACTTCAGAATGCCATAATTTGGTCAGAAAGTACATTGCAAAACGTTTACTTGAGTATCGAGATGACTTTAATCTTTCGTGTTCGAGTTCTGCCATGCCTCACAATAAATTACCAGAAACCGTGTTCAGTCATCTCGATCGCGCCCTCGTCTAATATTTTTGGCAACCAAGCTTCCATTTTATATAAAATGAATAAATCTGATGAATGGCTAAAAAATCTTTCACCTGATAAACGTAATTTGTAACCGGACGCATCTAAATGAGTCGCAATAGGGGAGAATCAATAATGAGATAAAGACAAAATAAGTGAAAATATTGATTTTGAACGAAATTGAGATTTTCACAAAAATGAGTCTATAAATATACTATCTATCGACACAGAAGATCAAAATAGCAATAAAACATTTTAAACACCTGTATTTGAACGTTTTGTAAGAGTACCGTATTCTTAAATCTGTCCTATTTCTCAAAATTCTCGGCGAAATTAGTTATTTTTCTTCGCTCAGTGGGACGACCTGTCATTCCTCTTGCATAACAATTGGCATCGTTGTAAAGCGGATGAGCATCTCTAGTTTATAAATATGATCAAAATATTGTCGATGAATTGATTTTGAACGGATACAATCGACGTTAAACCCCATTTCATTTCATTTCATTTCACGGATACAATCGAGTTTTACCCCCCCCCCCCAAAAAAAAATATAAATAAACTCCGCCTGTTGCCATGCTGTCCACACAACTCCATTGCTGATTGGCCCGGACACCGCGTGCAAGACATTATCGATAAATTATTGGTTTTGGCAATGTTTTTGGGTACCTACATGCGATGCACTCTGATAAGTGGCAGAAACAAAAAATTAATTCTGATCGTACAGATTGCCGTTGAGTGTTAATCGAAACCACGTGGCTGATGATGTAAATTAATCGACAAGCGGGTGTGTGTAATTGAGTAATACTATTACTAATCAACTGTCACGGGTCAATGATAAAGCCGTTGACAACTCATTATTTACTCCGAATAATTAATCCAAGTGTTGATTGTTTGATATCTCATATCATCTTTAAAAAAATAATCTATAGGCCTTAAATGGAAATAAACAAAATGGCCAATAATGTTCTTTTCGAATAGAATTTTATTGATAGCTGAATTCCGTTTAACGTTGCTTCTTCATACGGCATGCAAAGTAAGGAATGCATCAGGGATATTATTGTTTAAAATTCTCTTATCACAATGGGTCGAAAAAGTGAGAACGACCAACGTGCCGAGATGCGACGATTCTCGAGTCTGCCATTGAGTATCCTCTGAATAATGTTGATATTTACATCAAAGCCAAAATGGAAAACAAAAGCCAAACAAATTATGGACGGACGGGCGGACAGGGGCGACGACAATATACGTCCACATGAAAATGTGGGCGCATAAAAATAAATGAAATAACTTTGAACGGCACTAATATTTTTTGAATCAGATTGACCTTAGCTGTTTGAATATTTAGGTTAAATTTGTAAATTTTGAAAATTAAAGGCATAAATTGTCCTGCAAACAACTTTGTCGCCTGTCCAACCTATTGGGTTTTCTCCGGGTCCTCCGGTTTCCTCCCACTGCTAAAGACCCCTACGCGCAAGCGAAATATTGAAATAAAATTAAACCATATGTTAATCCCGAAATGACCTAGTTTTTGTCGAGTGGACGTTAAACCCCACTTCTCTCTCTCTCTCTTGTCGGCACGTAAAAGGTCAAAGGCGAAATACGAAATTATGAAAATTTTCAAACACGAAAAAATCGATCTTGATCCCGAGCTATCCTGAAATGCATTAATTTCAGAAATAAGGGAGGCATTGAACATATTACGGCCTATTGTGTGTATTTTCACGTTTGTTTAAGTGGATTTTTCACTGTTCTTCATATTCAATTCCAAATGGAGACCATCAGTTGACCGAAATCAAAATTCTGTTCTAAACGTTTTTTAGGCATTCCTTCAAGGATTAAGAAAATGTAACTCCCATGTCAGTAAGTATAATATCGCGAAATTTTTCTCCTTTTAATATGTGATAAATATTATCGCGGCGCAGCCAACCGCTGGAAATTCCAGAGATTTTGACCATCGGAAGGATGCCTCAGCAGTCAAAAAAGGTCAAAATAGGAGATTTCGGTTTTTAGTGTTGCGGTCATTTTAAAAAATTGTCTTGTAACGATAATGTGTATAGTACTAACACCTATCACATACGGAAGGGGCGATAAGATCCCTTTGCATTTGCAATTTCAAAATTAATTAAAACCAAATTTAAATTCCGAAAATGTTTTTTTTTTTGTTGCTAAAACTCTTTTATTTTTAAGCGGATCAAAATGGGAGTAAAGCACAGAGTCCGGGATGGTAATGGGCGTACTGTGTCCAAATTTCATGGTTTTCGGAGAATTGGTGCCGGTGTCGTAGCGAAATTCCAATTTTTTCCCCTTACAGAATCCGTAAATTGACGAACGGCAGGAACCGTGTCAAGAACAAACGACCTGAACGAATGCAGGTATC